CTCTTTCCATTCAGCATCTTTATTGTGGAAGTAAAAACTCTCCTTTTACTCCAGCAAGTAAAGTCCTTTACTCAGGTGAGTCCTCACTCACAGGGGAGGTTTGCCTGAATGACTGCACAGTTTGGCTTCATGAACTTACTGTAATGATCACCATTATCAACCTCGTGCTTTCTGCTATTATCCATGATTATTAATTAATGCTTAATGCATGTTCCCAGCAGTTCCATCACCCTCACAGCATCTCTGGGGAAATGTCACTCTCCTCAGTGATATGTGGTGTGAGCAGCTGAAGCACGAGCCGAGGCTGGGTCGGGATTAGCACATCAATCAGAGTTCAGGAGTTCCAGGCTGCTGGACCTCTTCTCAGATCACCGGATCCTACTTCTTCCTGCATCACAGCTTGACATTTCAAACCCACTCTCACTGGAAGCCCTATGTCAGAGCAATAGTAAAGGGAGATTTTTCTATGTGCTTCTGCCACAGAAATCAAATGGCAGCTTGCTTCTGACAGTCCACACAACTCCCCTGCAGGTTCCTCACCTCACACAGATAGATCTAAGGCCCCCATCATGTGTGGACTTACTTGTTTGGCATTGCAATTTTACACCCTGGTTCATAAGCACCGTGTCAGGTTGCTCTATCTTCTTTACTCTGGCAAAAACTATAACACTATAGTTCTTAGTACTTATAGGCTCAAAATCCAGCAACCATGACTTGCCCAGACCTCATGAAGACACCAGGAAGGTTTTGAAGCATTACAGTACATTTACACAAAGCACCTGCCTTGATTTCTGTTTTAAACAAGCTGTTGAAATCTAGATTACAAAGAAAGGTACGAACTTGTTATGGCTATTGCACTTTTTAATGATACTTATAATAATGCTGCACTTCTCTGGCCAAATTCTAGCCCAGAAGCCACACCTTCCTGTCTCCATCCCTGGCAGTGTTCAAGGCCAGGTTGGACAGAGCCTTGGGCAACCTGGTCTAGTGTGAGGTATCCCTGCCCGTGGCAGGGGGTTGGAACTGGATGATCTTAAGGTCCTTTCCAACCCAAACCATTCTATGATTCTATGATTCCATGATTGTCTTGAGGTTCTTGTGGGAAGGAGGTGATCAGTGTAAGTAAAAAGTCCAGTTGCTAAAGGAAACTAAATGAAAGTAAACCAGCATTCCACAGAAAAGACTTCAGTTTCATAAGCCAACATGCAACTATTTCTGGCGTTGCTTCACTGTGAACAGAGTTGAACACGTGCACTTGCAGGTTTTAAATTTAACACAGAGTATTATAACAGTGTTTCCACTTCTGCATTAGATAAACTTTAGTGCTAAAATGGAATATTGGGATCCTAATGACTTTGCTTTAATAAGACCTAAACTTTTAATTAACCTGCCAAGACAAATTACAGCCATAGCTCTTAGGTAACTATTGCAGACAGCTGAGACTCAACACCAATGCCTCTTCTGGGAGAGGGATTAATGGCAGCTTTGGAATGAGTCTGCTTTTTTCAAGCAAAGAGGGAAAAAAAAGTCTATTAAACAATCGGTGTGGCTAGAAGAAAGCTGAGTGCTAGTTTTATGGAGCAATCTTTCAATTACAGCCAAATGAATTTGGGTATATGAACAGTTTCAGCAGGTAAGTCGAATTTAAGACGAAATATTATTGAATCAGAAACAGATTCTGATATTTACAGGCTGGAGGAAGCATGCCGAGTGTGCTCGGCTGTCAGGCAGCATCCTGCCTGCATCCTAGCCTCCTTAGACAGCAACAAATCAGTGCCTGTGCGTTGAACTGGCAGAGAGACCTGCTTAGTTCATTTGTTCTTCTTAAGAAATCTCAGCTTCTTTCTGTTAGCAAGTTGAAATGGAGATTCCTGTTAGTGTGGTTCCTGCTACCAAGCCTTGCAGTGCTTTGTATTGCAGTTTTAACCCCAGTACGCTGAACTCCAGCTTGAGTAACTTCAGTGATGCTCGAAGGCAGGGCTGCCTGTCACACAAAGATGGTGCTGCTGTGTGCTCTTCTATCATTCCTATCCCTCTGCTCAGAAAGAGGAAAAAAACTCAAAGAAAAAGAACTCTATGAAAAGATCAAAGAAAGAAAACGAAGGGAATTTCAAGCTCATAATCCATCTTTGGCATGGGGTAGACTCTTGTTATGGATATAGCTATTAAAAAGGCCTACAAAGTACTTATGAGATATTTAAGACCTAACAGTATTCAGCTTGTTGCTAAATACAATCTCCTACAAACATTCTTTCTGAAACCACACAAAGCCACCATGCAATTGAGTATGTGCATTAATACCTGGCCCCAGAGCACATTTAGGAGTTTAGGAATAATATAGGAAATCCTTACCAATAGCAGTAGTAAGAAAAGAAACCACTTCCGATTCCTTGCCATCGTTGTAGAAGGCTAAATGCCATATTCCTGAATCTAAATACTGGATAAACCCCGTCTCATGGCTGGACAAGGGCACAAAAGCTCTGTGCTGCCTCTGAGGTCCTTCTAAGCTTCTTGCCTCCTGTGTCAGTAGACGTCTTCCATCAAGGAGCTCCACAAAGTCAAACTGAAACATAAAGAAAGAGTGATGTTTGGGTGTCTTTCAGGCTCCCTCAAGCTTAGTTTCATGCTCTGGGTCTACAGAAGCAGCACAAACAGGATTTTCTCTGGTAACTCAAGTCTGTTCCTGGCCTACCTACAAGTAACCATTTTGCAAGTAGCCAGTGTATGAATGTATTTTTCTGTAATTACATGAATCAAGAAATCATCTTTATTTAGAATAGGGCATATTGACCTTATTGATGTGCTCTCATTCTGTAGAAACAGAGCAGGGAAATACGAGGTCCAGAGTCCTAAATTGCACTGTAAGTGTGATGATAAGATGCTTATCTGTTAGTCTCTCTGGGTCTTGGCTAATAAGGAAAATAAATAGACAGAAAAATGTATCATCTAGCCTAACTGGGTTGTTTGCCTCAATTGCTGTGGGTCACCAAGGAAAAGCTAACAGGTATTTGTAAGTAAATTCTAGTAGAGGTTTTGGAGAAGTATTTTGCTTATCAAGTAAAGGGTTTTTTTCTTAAAGCAGTAGCCAAACATGGTCAAAGGATCATGGAAGATGAAGACAGAAAAGTGATAAAGTAATATATAGAAGTGTCATTTAGGGGGTGGCTTTTGGAAGCTTTCCTCAAAAGGACACATCTATTTTTTGCCAGGGTAACTTCAGCTGAACAACTGGTTTGATTTTGCTACTGGTGTTGCAACTACCTTTAGTTCCCTATTTAGACAACTTCCAGGGACTTTCTGCAGTGATTGCATTTTGTCTACTAATATATTAATGGGATGAGTCAGGTACAAGCCGAGCAGACATCACAAAGGGTAAGTGAACCTCATCTAATCTGACTTTCAATCATGTGTTTAGGTGAACAGGACATCTTGTGAACAGAACCCAGCAGTTGACCACTCTTCTGCTTCCTGACTTCGCTTGGTTTTGCCTCTCTCATCCAGTTGGTCAAATAAACCTGTAGTTTTTGGCAGGAAGGAGGAAACCAGGCAGAAAGAAACACCACCACTTACTTTTGTATCAGTAAATGTTTCTACACTGAATAGTTGCTGAGTGTTGGCTGAGTGGGCAACAGTATTTAGGCTTTTTGACTTTACTGTTGCAATATATGGGTGATTCTGTTTTATATGATTAAGTTGTCTAGTATGGTCTTCAGAATCAGACAAGATAAGGATTGATGACAGGTTCTTTCATCTGTAGTCATTGCTAAGTTAAAAAGAAGAATTAAAAGTGCTGATTTCCAACAACATTTTGAGACATAATCTTTGTATGACAGAGCTTGCCCATAAAATGACAAAATCTGTCCCTGGAGTATTTTAATTACTGTATTTATTTATTTAGATGAAATCAATTTGGGGCCTTATTTTTTTCCTTATACTTCAGTATAAAGATCTCTCAAATTGCTGGGTTGCATCAACAAGGGCATCCCCAGCAGAGATAAAGGTGTCAGTGTCCCACTCAGTGCTTGTCAGGCTGCCCCCGGGATATTGTGTTCACTGTTGGTCCTGCTGCACAAAAAGGCTGTGGATGGGCTGGAGAGGGTCCAGAGAATGGCCACCAAGATGATCCAAGGGCATGTGAGGAAAGGCTGAGAGAGCTGGGACTGTTCAGCCTGCAGATGAGAAGGCTCAGGGTAGAGCTTATCCCCATGTGCCAGTGTTTAAAGGGTGGCTACAAAGAAGATGGAGACACCCTTTTTGCAAGGAGTCCTATGGAAAAGACAGGTAATGGGGGGGATTTACTCCTGAGGAGATTCCAGTTGGACACAAGAAGGAAATTTTCCACACTGAGAACAACCAGCCACTGGAATAATCTCCCCAGGGAAGTGGTGACTCCCCAGTGCTGGACACTGGTAAGGTTGGGCTGCACAGGGTGCTGGGCCATCTAGTCTAGGTCATGCTTTGCCTGGAAAGGTTGGACCAGATGATCCTTGAAGTCCCTTCAACCTGGGATTCTGCGAAATTCGGTGCTGAAGTGGCTTCTGAGAACATAAAAGCTGGCACACCTGCAAAGGACATTCCTTTTGGGGGTCTGTCCAAGTTACCTTTGTCAGAGACAGAGTTTCTATTTTGAATAATATAAATACACATCATAAAACTGTACTAATGAGAGGTTGGTTTGATACTTTGTGAGCCATGTATTTGTAGCTATTGCCTAGGATGACTCCTCATCAGGCCTCAGTGTGGCCAAGACTGACACAACTGAGGACAGTGACAGAGGACATCATGGTGCTGGGAATGTCTCAATGGAGTTGAGTCTGGCTGAGGAACACACTGGCCAGGTGCACTGAAGAAGTTAAAACCAATAAGAGAAAAGCCTACATATTTGCATATTTTGGAGCACGATGGAACAAACTGACTAGATAAAAGGAACTGCAGATGCCACAGGTCAAATTCATCTCACCATGTGCTGACATCTCTACGGCAGATTGATTTACTTTTCTAGAACCATTGGACTGCAGTCAAAGAAAGAGACTCTCTAGAATGCAATCTGCCTCAGCCTAAAGTTGACACCTAAGAAATACCCCATGGTTCAAAGCCAGGTTGGACAGAGCCTTGGGTGACATGGTCTAGTGTGAGGTGTCCCTGCCCATGGCAGGGGGTTGGAACCAGATGATCTTAAGGTCCTTTCCAACCCAAACCATTCTATGATTCTATGTCTGTGCCTTATAAGCATCCATTTCTTGCTCCATATTAGATGTAGATGCATAAAGCTTAGTGAGATGAAAACACCTTCAAGGCACCCAGCTATGGTGAGCTGCTGTTGTTACAGCCCAACTGGGGCCTTGCTCAACCTGGGGCTTCCTGCCAAAGCAAAAGTTCATTTCTATAACTATTTACAAGATGCTGCTGTGCATGTTGATGACTTTGCAAAGTTCCTGGTTACTAGTTGTAAATAGTAATTGAACCACAAATGGATTGTGCTTTATTGCATTTTAATACATTCAGCGATTTTTAATATGCAATTAGAGTTATTGCAAGCAAGGAAGTCGTAGATAAAATGCCACATTAATCAATTCAAATTGGACAAAGGGAAAAATGCCTCCCACAAGCTGGGATGGCCAATCACCAAGATTTGTGATTTAACAGTATTTGGCCTAGGTTAAAAAGAGTTTTAAAAATTATTTGATCTAGGAAGATTAAATAAATAATAATAAAACTGTGTAACTTTTACTGTGATTTGTTGAGATGAATGAGAAGAAATGCCTTGAGTTAACAGTAAATCACTTCAGGCTTCTGCAGGCTCTATTTCTAAGACTACAGAAATCTGGAACTTGTATTTAATTCCAATTTATTAGTGGCCATGGTTGTTGGCAACATCGACTAGAAGACAGATCACTACAGGCAGAGAGTTTCCCAAAGAGAATGCGGAATAGATTGTTGCTTTAGCATGGATAAATATGACTTTTAACAATTTAGGAGTAAATACAACTTTTAACATATATCCTAAGGGTCAGCCTTGGGATCAATTCAAAGATCCTGAAATAGAGAATGTTAAGGCTCACGTAATGGAAGATGGATGATCTAAACAGAAGAAGTATCTAATTATCTAACACATAAGAAAACCTGAGTATCAGCTAGGATTTTACTACTGCCATCAACTAGATGATAAGCTGGGGGAAAATAATTGACCCTTTATTAAAGTCTTCCAAGGGAGGCTGTATCACTGCTCTGATCATACATTTTGCCGAAGTCTTCTTTATGACATTCCTTACAAAACTTGGGAATACAAAACTCATTGGGTAGATTTATGGGGTGCAGCAGATACTGTGGATTATGCAAAAGGAAAGATGAGATTTGTGTAGAATGTATTAACTATGAGAGACAAGTTTACAATTTCAGCACAGAAAACAAGTTACCTATTTAATGACTCCTACGACTAATAAACTACAGTGAGATTGAACGTCATATAAATAAATACAGGAGAACAATGTTGTAATTGACAGCAGGTTTATAGAATAATAAATCTAGGAAAAGGGATCATTTAAAAACTAAATTAAATATTAACAAATAGTACATTAGTATTGATTCCGTATCTGCAGCTTCATTAAGTTATTTCATCAGAACAGGGTGGCATATGTGATCTGTTTCTCTAAGTGTACCATGGTTCTTATTGTTTGAATAAAAATGTCACTCTTGTTATTTTTGGTGATGTTTTGGTCCAGATGATGATTTTATGATACACTTTGCAACTCTTAGTTAGTGGCCACACAAAAAGCAAGGATCTGAGCATGTGCATTGCCTCCTGCATCATGGCACATCGACAAATGTGTGACACATCCCACATTTAACATCCCATTCTCAGCAGAGGCTTCAACTGATCCACAACCATGGTGTTTTAAATGGGAAACATGGATAAATCACTCAGAATATAAGCAAAAATGAGGTTAAAGAGTAAAAAAAAAGAGCAGCAATGGTGAGGTTGGCATGGGCTTCTTAATTGCTTAAAACATTACTACGGTTGGGCTTAGTGCCCTGCAGCACTAAAAGGTTGTGCTTTAAGTTCAACAGACCTGAGGTTTAGGTATTAAACTTTACATTTGTTATTTAAAGAACTAAAACTATTCATGTAATAACTTCTGTTCCATAACAGAAATTAATAACGAACAAGTAAAATTAATAGAGACTTCTGATCTATAGTTGGTATTATGTGACCAAGACTTGAGTTTTGATTTAAACAATACAGGAGGTTTAAGTTTTTAAGTGTTTGAATCTCCCTGTAAAAAGAGACTGATTAAAACTGGGCAATAACAGCACTGCTGTGTCACTGAATTTATGACCTGCTGATCCTATTGAAACATTTTAATTCTGCAGAAAAGCAGGCAGAGAAAGTGTAGATTTATGACACTTCTTTGACATAAATAAGTTGCAGGTGTGTTAATATGTAGAAAATACCATATTACCCAGAAAGGCTGTAATAAACATATTTGTTTGCTCAAAAAGAAAATAAAAGCAGGGTATTTCTATAAATCTCAAGCAGTTGTGTAGGCTTTTCAGTTAATAGTGGAGGGCAAGGGTAAGTTACAGCATTAATATAAACCTGGTAATACTATGATAACTTGCAAGTGGGAGTAAGATGCTTTGCATTGACAATAAGAGTTATGTCCTTATGTATTAAACAATCTGGTGAAGAGCAGCTTAGAAACTCAAATGGAATGTAGAGAAGGTAATGTACAAAATCCTTTTCTAAGGGGATGGTTCTTCAGACCATTTCCCAGAATGGGATTTCTTGACATGGCTTTTGCCAAGGTGTGTCAAGAACAGCAACCACTTTCATTTTACTCCTACCAAATACAAACTGTACCTTGGTTGCTGTCTAACTAAACTGGAGGCTTTCCATAAAAACTTGGTTTTGTTTGGTTATACACCAGTTACTGGGCCCTGACCAATCTCAGTCTAATCTGACAGTCGACATGCATGATGTGAAGGGTTGGCTCAAGGCATTTCAGCACAGAAGACACAGTGAATCTTGGTTCCATGAGGGTGAGCGAACGGGATCTTGCTGCTCTTACCTCAAGACAGGAAAGGCAGTAGCTGGAAGGGGAGACAGACCTGAGCTACAACAGAGTACTTAAGAGATGATTCCTTTTGAGTGTGGCTGCTGCTACAAGGGACACTGGATGGAGAAGGTGGTATCTCATGCTACTAGGAGCAACCAGCTGATACTCTCAGTGACCACCAGCCCACAAACTCCTTTTCCTCCTCTGGCAGCTTGCTGCCTTAGGTAATTGCCTGCTTGCCTGTGCCTTGAGCCCATAGAGTTACTGTGTGCAAATTTTGGAGTTGTCATTTGATCATCTTTCTCTGAATAGATGACATTTAACATCTTAGAAGCATGCATCAAATTCTTGCAATAAACAGCTGAAATAAAACAATAAGCCATAAGAACATACAACTTCAGACAGCTATTAAATTGAAGTCACATTACCTGTGTATGTGATGGTGGGAGGCCTTTTCTGCCATAGATGCCAACCAGAGCAGCCTTTCCTAAAGACACATTGAATTTCAGATGCACTGGATGGTCGATGAACACCTGAGATCTCCAAAAGATACCAGGAGGGATCTTCTGTGTTGCTCGTCTGCCAACATCAATTTCTCCAGAGTCTATAAAACTGTCGTCTGGAAAGAAACTACTGGGTTTTCCTGCCAAAACACAGGAACAAAAACCTTGGATTAGCTTCCGATCCTAAAAGTAATCCAATCAGACTGGTATCTCTGACACTGATCTTGTAAAACAGTCAATTAGTGTCCTGAAGTCTTCAGAGTACTTTGTCTAGCCAATCCATATGATTATGAAGGGAAAACTGGCAGGATTATTCCTGGCTTCAGGAACTGTTTTGTTTGAAAACATGAACATGGGAAGAGCAACCTGGAGAAAAATGACCTTTGCTTTAAATGGTAACATCAGCAAGTGTGTAATTACATTGTGAAGAGAAGAGAAATCATCTGACATCACCTAAATGAATGTAAGTTCATGGATGGAGAAGTCATTGTTAAATTAGCAAAGAGAAGTGCAGTAAGTGTGAGGCAGACATGCCACAGGATGGAATGGTAGTGAGGAGAGCAGCAGCATGAACGATGCTAAGTGGGGAAAGGAAAATGTTTCTCTATTAAAATTCATTCTTGACACTGGTAACAGTATTTGAAATCTATTCAACAGTCCAAAAAAAAACTAAAGAAAAAAGAAAGGACTGAGAAAAATGAAGGAAATCACACCCTGCACTTGAGTAGTGTCTACTAAGAAATATAGAATCATAGAATAACAGACTGGTTTGAGTTGGAAGGGACCTTAAAGCTCATCCAGCTCCAACCCCCTGCCACGGGCAGGGACACCTTCCACTAGAGCAGGTTGCTCCAAGCCCCTGTGTCCAACCTGGCCTTGAACACTGCCAGGGATGGGGCAGCCACAGTTTCTCTGGGCAGCCTGTGCCAGCGCCTCAGCACCCTCATAGTAAAGAAATTCTTCCTAATGTCAAATCTAAATGTAGCCCCGATCTTATGATGATAAGCATCTGCTTGTGCTTGGTCTCTGGAGCCCCCTCTTCAAACTTTAAGCAGCAAAGTGGCTGAGAGGTTTTAATTGGGTTTCAATACAATCTGCACAGTGTGCTGTGAATCCCCATCTTTTCAGAAGACAAGCCAATGGTGGCATCTGTTTCACAAAGCAGCCACCAGGTTTGAGATCCGGGGTATGCAGGTGCTAATCACTACATGCCATGATGTCCAATGGAGTCAGCAGGAGCTCAGCACCCCTGGACACCCTGTCTGAGAGATTCCAGGTTAAAAACTCACACACTCACAGACCACAGAACTGGTGGCTGCTTCAGAAGCTCTGGGCCCAAAGGAAGCCCAGGGAACGAGGAGCAGAATGCAAAATCAATTGCCAGAATGTTGCCTTTACACCCTTTGCTTCAACCAGTGGCCACAGCTTTACCTGCAGCACATGAAGACAATGAAGAAGGCAACTGCTTGGCAAAGAGCCTTTATCTGAAGACACTTCTAGTTAAGAAGTATGCAGTAGTGTCACCTTTTGGCTTTAATAAGGGGATCATCATGTCCCCAGCAAGGACTAATATTCATTTGAGAAATTCAAATGAATTTGTTATCTCCATTAAAGCACAGTACTCTTTTTCACAGACCAAGCCATTCTAACAAAATGAGGAGGAAACTTTCAGGTAGACACAATCTTTTGTAGGAAAATCACATTGTGAGATGGTTTTTCTTCCAGAATCTACACTTGGGAAATGAGAAACAAAAATATCTTTTCCCAACCTGGATTCAGGTCAAATAGTCTTAGAATTGACTTGCCATGTTGAAAAGGTGAGTGGTAGAACAACCTTTCATTTTACTGCTTCAAATTATAATATTCCTTTAATATTATATAATTTTAATTATAATCATAGAATGGTTTGGGTTGGAAAGGACCTTAAGATCATTTAGTTCCAACCCTCCTGCCATAGGCAGGGATGCCTCACCCTAGCCCATGTCACCCAAGACATGCCATACCAGCACAGACTAGAAAGCAAAAGGTGTATACATATTCATAGCAAAAAAAGCTACTTTTAATATTATAAGATTCTCATTTCTCTTTGTTCATCACATACATACAGAGGGAACATCTCCTGACTTTTTGTCCTCTTCTAATCAAAGTGTGCATTAATAGAGATAATCA